ATTCATGTGAATATGACTGAAAATTTTCATTTTTTCTGAAAAGGTGGTGTCTATTTACTTGTGACCACACTGTGCATATCTCATATTCTGGAAGATGTAATATTTTTATGATTATTAAATGTATGTCTCATTTTGGGAGATGTAATATTCTATGGTTATTATTATGTGTATGTCTCATATTCTGGGAGATGTAAAATTCTCATGATTATGTTTACATCTCATATACTAGGAGATGTAATATTCTCATTATTATGTTTATGCTTCATATTCTGGGAAATGTAATATTCTCATCATTAAGTACATGTCTCATATACTAGGAAATATAATATTCTAACAATTATTAGATGCATGTCTCTATATAACTCATGCAAAATTGTTTTTTCAAATTACTAAAATTAGTCTCTATGGTAAACAAATTATAATGGTCACAATTTTCTTAACAAAATGTGTTTCATCAAGTACCATAGGAAAACCATAAATATACCTAGACACAAAATCATGTATACCATATGTATATATATATATTTTTTTTTCAAGGACATTAATTTTATCATGAATATATTCTATTTCATAAATAGAATGTTTCACAGAAGTGCTTATGCAGTATAATAATGACTACTCAGCTAACACCTTTAAAATAACTTGATAAATCAAAGATTAAACACAGAAAACTCAGACATTAAAATCTCCATGTAAGTGGTCTTTAAATTTTTTTTCCAAACAGTGTTGATACAATATCAATCTCGCATTGTGTGTAAAAACATCATTAAACATTATAAACATTGTTGATAAAATACCAATATCCAATGTTTTTACACACAATGCTAAACATTATAAACATTGTTGATACAATACCAATCTCTGATGTTTTACATACAATGCTAAACATTATAAACATTGTTGATACAATACCAATCTTTGATGTTTTACATACAATGCTAAACATTATAAACATTGTTGATACAATACCAATCTTTGATGTTTTTACACACAATGCTAAACATTATAAACATTGTTGATACAATACCAATCTCTGATGTTTTTACACACAATGCTAAACATTATAAACATTGTTGATACAATACCAATCTCTGA